GCTTTACAGAAAACAATATCTTTGCAGATTGTTGTGCAGGAAAGTGTGGTTTAAGGTTTACAAACCATGACCCCACTATCTCTCTAGTATTTGCTACTTCTGTAAAAACTGAACTAATCTGTTCTATTGATCTACTTACAAAGCTGCTACAGGGCTGAATTATCACACACTGTACATTTCCTGTTAGAAGCACTGAAACTGTGCAATAAAGATGACGATATTCTCTGACTATTTTTACAATTTCACTTCAATATTTTACAGTTTTCAGGTAAAGCAAATAATAACCATAGCTGATCACACACCCGTCATGTTAGAAAGCTGTCTTGGAAAATGTACAGCATCTTCTGCCAGTCTTCTTTATAGAAAATGCACTTCACAGTAATCAAATTTTGACTATCAAGATGACCACAGATCAGATTATAAACAAAACCTAAGCTTTCCACAGGCAGGACAGTGTTCCTCCTGCCAACCTAAGCTCCCCAAGGTCAACTGAGAGTTTTGCAGTTCATGTTTCATCCTCTGTTTTGAGATTGTGAGAGATGTTGATCAGACACCACCTGCAAAGGGTGACTTCTGCAAGTTGCATCAGAGGAGAAAAAGCAAATAAGGTCTCATCTCCTCGGAGTCACCCTTCTATCTGAGCTAGCCTCCTGGGACCAATAGCCCTGACATGGTGGCCCTGCTATCAGCAGTATGTAACTGAAGCTACAATATCCAGATTTCCCCAGCACAGAAAAGCAGCAGCTCTAATCTTAGGGCCACCTATTCCCTTGAAGGAATCTGTCTTGTGGGAGATTCCAGTGGAAATAGTTAGTAAGTGGCTCTGTTTTGTTTTGGGTTTTTTTTTTCTACAATACAAAAAATTTATGAGAGTCTCAGAAATTCACAACCAGGCAATTTTTAAGTGTTGCATCCTGAAGTCATTGGTATTTAGAATATTTTAGAGAAAAAAATGGACCCTATGTTAAAGTCTGCACCATACTTCATACCCAAGACCTATTCTAGGTAGATATCCACCGACTTGACTGACAAATTACTTAGACAAACTCAAACCTACCACTAAAACTTAAGATTCTATTTTCAAAAGTAGAGGTCCCTTTAGAAATGATCTGTGAACAGAATTGACAATTGTACCTATGATTTAACTAACATTATATCAGTGCTTATTACACAAACTTACTTTTCACAATGCATCTTCATCTTTCAGAGGCAAATGTCCCTAGAGCAGCACAGCCTCTCAGCTCACTCCATCTCTGTTGTTTCTTGCAAGTGCTGTTGCTAAGAAGACAAACCAGCACCCACAAAAACATGTCATTTCTGCAGTAGGAAGCTGAGGTCTTAGACTACCGCATTGTTTAGACAAAGAAACCACAGCCCGGGACCAAAGCATCCCTGCACAGAGAATCAGTGCAAACAAAGCCTGATACTGGGAAACACTGTGTCACTGTAAAGGCCGAACCTGTGGCTGGAGGAGCAGAAGCAGGTTACCCTACATTTTAATATATGCTTTTTGCATAACATACAAAACTATGTGTAAGTTTTTTTGGCAGGAGAGGGAAGAGAGTGATAAAAGTGTTTAAAATTTTGTGCTGAGACAGGTATGCAAATTAGTAGTCTGGCAGATGGAGGAAGAGGAGGCTGAGGTACTTAATGTCTTCTTTGCCTTGGTCTTTAGTGGTAAGACTAGTTGTTCTCTGAGTACCCAGCCCCTAAGCTGAAAGACAGGGATGGGGAGCAGAGTGAAACCTCTGTAAGCCAAGAGGAAATGGTCAGTGACCTGCTACACACACAGGTCTATGGAGCTAGATGGAATCCACCCAACTGTACTGAGGGAGCTGGTGGAAGTGCTCACTGAGCCACTTCCAGTCATTTATCAGCAGTCCTGGCTAACTGGGGGGGGAGAGGGAGAGAGGGGGGAAGGGTCCTAGTTCACTGGAGGTCAGCAATTGTGACACCCAGCTATAAGAAGGGCCAGAAAGTAGATCCAGGGAACTACAGGCCTGTCAGCCTGACCTTGGTGCTGGGGAAGGCCATGGAGCAGATTGTCTTAAGTACCATCTTGTGGCACTTGTGCAATAACCAGGGGATCAGACCAGTCAGCATGGGTTTATGAAAGGCTGGTCCTGCTTAACTGACTTGATCTCCTTCTATGACAAGACAACACACTTAGTGGATGAGGGAAAGGTTGTGGCAGTTGTCTACCTAAGCTTCAGTAAAGTCTTTGACACCATTTCCCCAAGCCTTCTCCTGGAGAAAATAGCTGCACATAGCTTGGATGGGTGTACTCTTGGCTAGATTAGGAACTGGTTGGATGTTTGGGCTCAGAGAGTGGTGGTGGATGGAGTTACATCCAGCTGGCAGCCAGTCACCAGTGGTGTTCCCCGGGGCTCAGTACTGGGGCCAGTCCTGTTTAATTTCTTTATGAATGATTTGGACAAAAGGACCGAGGGTACCCTCAGTCAGTTTGCAAATGATACCAAGCTGGGCAGGAGTGTTGATCAGCTGGAGGCAGGAAGGCTCTGCAGAGGGATCTGGACAAGCTGAATCAATGGGCCGAGACCAAGTCCCTGAGGTTCAATAAGGCCAAGTGCCGGGTCCTGCACTTGGGTCACAACAACCCCAGGCAGCGCTGCAGGCTGGGGACACAGTGGCTGGAAAGGGGCCAAGTGGAAAAAGACCTGGAGGTGCTGTTTGACAGCAGCAGAACGTGATCCAGCAGTGTGCCCAGGTGACCAAGGCCAATGACATCCTGGCTTGGATCAGAAATAGAGTGGCCAGCAGGACTAGGGAAGTGATTGTCCCCCTGTACTCAGCAGTGGTGATCCCACACTTCTAATACCATGTCCAGTTCTCAGACCCTCACTACAAGAAAAATATTGAGGTTCTGGAGTGAGTCCAGAGAAGGGCAATGGAGATGGGCAAGGGTCTGGAGCACAAGTCTGATGAGGAGCAGATGAGGGAGCTGGGGACGGCTCAGGGGAGACCTTATCGCTCTCTACAACTACCTGAAAGAAGGCTGTAGCAAGGTGGGGGTCGGCCTCCTCTCCCAACAAGAGATACAACATGAGGATACAGCCTCAAGTTGTGCCAGGGGAGGTTTAGATGGGATATCAGGAAACATTTCTTCACTGAAAGGGTTGTCAAGCATTGGAACAGGCTGCTCAAGTCACCATCCCTGGAGGTATTTAAAAGTTGTGTAGATGTGGCACTTAGGGACATGGTTTAGTGGTAGATTTGGCAGTACTTGGTTAACAGCTTGACTCGATGATCTCAGGTTTTTTCCAACCCAAATTATTCTATGGGTCTATGATTAGCAGTGACTTGGCTACACTGATGGGAAACACCAAGTTCAGCAGCAGTGACTACAAAGAAAATAAACTTCATTACATTTGGAGATGTATGGTGAGAATAATGAGGCAGGACACAGGACAGAAACAGAGGAAGACTGGGAGAACTGGGGAGGCACCTGGCAGGCAGTCACACCTGGAATGGGAAGCAAAGTGCTTTGGGTATGTCAGCCCAGAGGAGGGCAAAGGAAAGGCACTGCACTGGGGCTGCCTTGGGATCAAAAGGTCAGTCATGGCCTTGGGAAGGCAACAGCCATCCCAGAACAAATTGATGGCAACCATCCAGGTATCTCAGGACTGGAATTTCCAGCAAAGCGTTAATGCATTTCAGACAAGAGAATTTTGTAATGATACACTCTTATAACTTAACAATTTCTATATTTGAGGGATGAACTCTCTAAGAAGGTCTTTCAATTTCCTGTGATTATTTTTCTCTATTTAATCAGATTTTTATTTTTTTTTGTATCTTCTTCAGTCCATTAAAAGTGGATGTTGCTACGGGAGGCTCATAACAGCACTTTGAAATGTTATTAAGAGCAATTCCACTAGTTTTATCTCCAGGGCGAGGCAGTGTGAGGGGAGGGCATGCACCCAACAGCAGTGATTGACAGCCTCCTCCAGCACATCACCTCCTTCCCCATCACAGTGCCTCTGGTAGCCACTCCTGCTTGACAGATTAACAGCTCAGCCTCAAACCCCAGGTTTGAATTTTTCCTCTGGGCAGTTATGGCAGGAGTAGGCACACGGCACAGGCAGCTGCCAAGGAAGTCCTGCCCTGACTTTAGTGTAGGTGTGTCAGGGACAAGGCTCAGCTGTGCAAAATCCCAACCCCACACTTAATTTCCAGCTGGCCTGCAGTGGGGCAGAGACCAGAGCTGGTGGGGCTGGCCCGCCTCTCACAAAGAACATTTTGCATGACAAAATATTGCAAGACATAGTATTAAGACATTAAATACCAAAGAATTGAGTGGTGTCTACTATGCATATAAGTGAGCTGGTGTCACCTGCCTGTTGTCGTATGTGCACGGGGCACGTCAGTGCCGAGCGAGCTTTGCCTCACTTCTGTGATCTGGTCAGCAACCAGGTGACCAATACCAGGCAGTAACAGCACTCCCTAGTTTGCTGTACCACGCAACTCACCTCTGAGAACTGGAATGTTTTTGCTTTGGCAGTGGATGAACAGTATCACCTATGAGGAAACAGTGGTCCCATCAGTCAGGGAGAGACAGTTCACACACTCTTACCTTAGTACTTTACAAACTGTTCATTTAAGTTATAGTTCTGCACAACTAGCAGTACCACTGGCTAAGATGAACCGTTTCATAAATGGAACACATGTCAATTTTACCCTAAAAGCCATCTAAATTTAATTAGTGCCAAACACATCAAGTCCCCTTTTCACAGACAGCTGTAGAGAGGATCACCAATCAAAGAGCAGCACAAATACAGAATCTACTTTGCTACCCTGTAAAGACAAAAAGATGAGGTATTTGTACATGCCATGTACTGGACACCGTAGTCAGGCAATTTCAAAATAAAGCAAGAAACAGTCAAACCACTGATCAAAAAGTACCACAAATAACTAAGCAGGCAAGACTCAAGTGTGAACACTGTCTGGACAAGTCAGAAAAAGAAAACACAAAACAAGCTTCAGTATGTCAGTTCATTTTACCAATTGTTTTTATTCAAAAAATTTGAATAAAACAAAAACTTTTATGCCACAAGCACACAGGCACCACCAACTTCTTTGATCTTCTCCTCTGCTCTTCTACTGAAGAACTTTGCTTTCACAATTACGGGCTGCTTGGGCAGCTTCCCCTTGCCCAGGACTTTGTAGTAGCCCTAGAAAGATTTAAAAAAAAAGATCAGTGTTTGTAATTGGTTTACAGGCTTCTACATTCAGACCTGTTTTTCAACAGTTAAAACTAAAACTGTGATCACCATGACCTCATCCAGACAACTCAGTACCTACAGAAAGATGCCCTGCATGACCTAGTGGGGTTGCATTTGTTCTGAAAGAAAGTGCAAACTGTAAACTGAAATTCTCCTGTGATTTAGAAACTGGATGATGCTTCCCCAAATACTCCATATACAAAAAACACTCTAAAGTCACCAACCTTTCCACATTTTTCTGGGAAGAGCAGTTGGTTGCACTTCCAATACTGCCTACTATGCAATGACTGCTGGTCAGTGCTCTTTAACAGTTGGACACCCAGGTACTTCTGAGCAGAGCAGAGGACTCTTCTGCGTACCTGAAATGCACAGCTGAAGCTTTGTCAAGCTTTCACAGCCATAGCTGCTAACACTGGAATCCTCTCATGTCATTCCTGTCCCTTACATTAATAGGACAATCATTACATGAAGTGCATTAATAAAACAGCTGTTGAAATCACTGCTGGTTAGAAGTGGCAGCCTAACTGGCCAACACAGGTATCTTCATGTGGGGGGCAGAACACCCCCACCTGGCAGAGCAGTTCAGTGTTCCTGATTCGGTGGCTGACTGCGATACAGGACATCACAGCCAGTGAATAAGGAGCAGGTGTTTATGTCCGAGAACTATAGCACACCAAGACAACCAAACATGTGGAGATGTGACTCTAGTCTCGATATTGAAAAAGTGATGTTATGAGAATGAGACCAGTTCTGCCAGGTTTTGTACATGCTTTCAGTAACATTTTAAACGAGAAATCTTTCACCATCTACCCAAAGGAGGGAACTCTATGCCCACAGTCACACACAACTGTAAGAAAAAGTTCTTACAGGGAAAAATGTAACACCATAAGTGCCTCTGTAACTACTTGTATGCCAAGATACCTGTCTCAAGAAGCTCACAAATACTTAAGCACTCGAATTTAGTTGCAGCTCACCATTTCCCTACTTGGAAAGGTAGAGCTCAGTTACACATGAAGAGACCAGAAATCACAGGGCTGAGTCTGAGCAGGAACTCACCGAGCGCACTACATCGATGACCGGGGCCAGACCAGCCTCATTTTTGGCATAATTAAGCCTGGTCTGTTCACTGACGAGCGTCCACAGTTTATCCAGGTTGACAGTAGGACAGAACTTTTGGTTTCTCTTCAAGTGATAGTGTCTCATGCCTACTTTTCCAAAGTAACCAGGGTGACTGGGAAAGAAACATATTCCACATTAGATCACATTTTTAATTCATCCTGAACAAGCAGAACTACAAAATTAACACTCAAACAAGCACCTTACTGGATTAAAGCAATCGAAATTTTCACATTTCATTTTTTTTCATATTAGTATGTGTAGTATTTAGGTGTAATAATTATTAGTAACTAAACCAAGAAAAAATTACTTCAAGTGTTTCATCATCCCTCTCACTGGAGTCTGCATTTCTAGGGAAGTCTCAACTCCATGAATGCTGAGAGGGCTGCACTGCCTGCAGAGTTTCAGCGCTCCTGTCACTAACCTGGTGACTGACTGAGACAGGAGTGGGCACAGCCAGTGAATAGATTAGTGTTTACTGTCCGAGGACTCCAGCACACCAGGACAACAGGCAGTGCCCAGATGTGACTCTATAGTCTCGGTCACGAGTAAGGACAACATCCCTGACCCTAGAGGATGCAGCTAACAGGATGCAGTTTGGATTTAACATTTAATATAATATTTTAAGTTTATTGTGTGTGCATTGTTAAGCAGGAACCAAGTTATTAACCGGCAAGTCAGGTCAAATTTACCAAATGCAGCACCGAACTCTTAAAAGACACCTTGTTTAAGTGAAAAAGCCTTTGATTTTAGGGTAAATGGGGACGTGAGTTGACTGCAGCTATAATGCCACACTTCACGTTAAGAGTAAAAAGCACACAGGATTGCAGAAAATTTTCTTTATTCACAAATAAAAGTTAGTTGTGTCTACTTCAGGAACACACACGTTGCTACTACTCATTTAAAATGTTCACTTACTATTTATCAAAGTTAATCCTGTGATGGTGCATACCACCAGCATTACCACGTCCTCCTGGATGCTTCCTGTGTTTCCCTAAAAAGAAAAATTTAAGTTTGTTACACTAACGTTACATATAATACTTGGGCTTAAAGGTACGTTAAGTGTCAATTTAAACTAATTTAATTAATTATTCCACCTTGTTGTGTGACAAGGTGTGAACGGCCAAAGAATCAGAAGGCAGACAGCACTGCCCTGTAATATTACAATGTCGCACGACCAGTACTGATCGCCTGAGCCCTACTTTAGTTACAGATGTGCAAGGCTTCCGATCGGCCCATCACTGCGGCACCGACCCCCGCACGCTGCGGCCTTCGGAACTACTCGCTACTTCCCACAGCCCAGCGGGCCTCTGCACCCACGGCCGCCTTTTCCTGCGACCCGTGAGGCACAGCAGCCTCCCCTCAGCGCCAGGGAGCCCTCAGCCGACAGGGACGCTCCCGCCGAGGCGCCCCAGCCCACCCGCGGCCTCCCCTCCACTCACCCACGCGGCCGTGCCCGTGGCTGACGTGCCCTCTCAGCTTCCGGGTCTTCCTTAGCCTGGAAGGCTGCAGGAAAGCGGGAGAGAAGCTGTGAGCGCGGCGGGCAGCGAGAGGCAGCAGAACCACCCGCCGCACCCCGAGGCCGCAGCCCCACGGCGGGCGCGCAGCCACACGCCATGGCGGGCCAGCCTCCCCACACCGCTCTGCCCCGCCGCGGGCTCGGAGACGCGCCTCCCCGCCACCCTCCAGTACTCCTCAGCCATGTCCCTCTGCGGGAGCAACGGCCGCGGAGCCCTCCATTCCATTCCATTCCATTCCATCCCATCCCATCCCGGCCCCGCAGCAGCTCCCACCATCTTGTCGGCGTGCGCGAGGAAGAGAAAGGGCGCGGTTCTCGCGAGAGCGGAAAAAAGCGCGGCGGGCGGGTGGGCGGGGCTGAACTCTCGCGAGGCTTCGCTGAGGCTGACGCGTCGGGAGCTGAGCTTAGGGGGCAGGAACAGCAGGCTGGCTGATCTCGAAATTCCTGCTGCGATCCACAGGAAAAGCTGGAATTTGAGCAGAACTGTGGAAAATTTGCAAGCTGGGTCACTTTATTAAACACCCATAACAACGGGAAAATAAACACTATGTATTAAACACAGTTATTTGCCACACTAGAGTACTAGTGATGCCTGAGGAGTGTTACTGTGTTCTCGAACCCTGTATGGGCCATTCCCTTAAGAGTGCCCGGTGATCCTTTTGGGTCCCCTCCAACTATTAAATATTCTATGATTAAGCATGGATTTTTGGAGGGTTTCTTTAATGGATTTTATACTGTAAGATTTTAAACAGATCTTTACCAGTTTTAAACACAGGACTTGATAGATTTGGGTTTTTTTCAGGATTTCCTTCTCAGTTAAGCAGTGCACTTGGAATGTTCCATGCTGAGGAAACCCATTAGTTTCAGCAACTAATTTAGAAGAGAACACTCCTTATTTTTTCATTCATCCTTCCCTTTCAAACACAGACCTCCAAATAACACAGGGATTTATATAGCCATAGTCTGAGGGTCAAGAAGATCTACAGATTTTTTGAAACGTGATCTCACCATGTCCATTTCTATCCTCTGATTAACATTACAAAATCAGGAACAACATGTTGATGGATCATAAAATGTTTAAAACCTTAAATTTTAAAATTTTTATTTAATCTTTTACTTATTTAAATTTTTAAAATTTAAATCTAAATTCCTTAAATTTTTAAAGTGCAGATGGAGGAAAATAGCTTTGGTATGGGAGACGGCTTTTACAGCATCACAGTCTTGTACGTCAGCATTCTGCAGCTTTGTCTTGCTTTTGTAGCAACTCTGCAGCATGTCCTGATGATGTTTTATCCATCATTTTCTTCAGAGGAATATGTATTTCCCCATACATTTACTAGCAGCTGTTGTTTATAAAAAGGCCAGAAGCCACCTGTACAAGTGACGTTATTCCTTCCACTCCGAAGACTTACATCTAGGAGTCATTCTGGAACTTAGAACATATTATATAGTAAAACTAATGGAAATTATTGGTTGTGATGACATTTCCATTGAATCAAAAGCACCTGATATTTTACAGACATTTCATGTCCACTTAAAAGCTTTTGTATACACACGAGTGTGAGGGAGGTAATTAAAAAAGGAAACGGCTTCACCTTTTTAGTGAATAATCCCTCGATATTGTTCTATGAGGCTGATAGCAAACCAGAACCACTGACAGGTTTGGAATTGCGCAAGCCTCAAAGCCAGTCTAACTACAGAAATCACGCTGCAAATGAAGAAAAACACATTATGGTTTGTTTTCTTTAAAGGTAAGAAGCTTTAGCTAATTTTCATTATCTGTCAGACTTGCAAACATATTCAAGCATTTTATATTTTCTTCCTCAGACTACAGGGAGACTTACAGAACCTCAACAGTTCTGTTATCAGATCAAGGATGAATGTGGTAGTTAAGCAGCACTCACAGCTGTGCAGGAGCCATGGCAAGCTGAACCATTCCTGTCCTGTCTTCAGTGACATGGAAACATCAGCTAAACACACTGCAATTAATGTAAAAGAAAAGCAGTCTCTCATGAAATGTAGGTGATCAGCTCATCAGAAATTCAGGCAAAGGCCGCCTGCTATAAGCTGCTCGTATTCTACTCTGATCATCTACCCAAGGTAGCACAAAAGCAACCTGAATATATATATATGATACAATGATACAATGACAAAAGAATTTGCTGCTACCCCATCAAAGAAATGTTTTAAGAGATGCTTCTGTTTGGATAAAATTAACAAAACAGCAATATAAGACACCTGCTCTTAGCACCAGTGAAAAACATTGAAGAAAACCCAAACTACACATCACGAAATAGCAAACCTACCAAAAGACAGGTTCATAATAACCATTTTAATTACAAATTCGTTTAAAAAAAAAAAATCACAGGAAAGTTACTGGGTTTGTACCTGCTCAACATCAGAAACTGCAGAGGTTTGCAATGAATATAAACAAACAGGTATATTTACAGAGTTTATTAGAAACCATACATACATACATTAGGAAAGGATGTACTGTACCTACTCGCTGCAGCTTGTATGTCAAAGAGCTGAGATCTCCTCAGGTTTAGCAGTCTTAGTGCAGAATGGATTACAAGGAGTTTACTGACCAGAGTTCAAACCAAGTGGAAAGTTTGCATTGTGAACCAAGTACCTTATTATCAAGTTGCTTTGTTATTTCTTTAAAATTAATTAGAGGGGAAAAAACCCCAACCAAACAAGCAACTGTGCCGCGTGAAAGCGGCCCCCGTTCGTACAACCTCTCCCATGTACCCGAGCTCATTCACCCCACAGTATTCAGGCATCAGTGTCGCTCTCTCACAAACATCCCTTGAAGTCAGTGGTTCTGCTGAGACAGTCAGCTGCACATAAATCAGCTATTCATTTTTGCACCAAGCATAACTCAATTCATACTAAAGAAACAAAAATAAGCACCTGTTATTCTCAGGAATATACAAATATTTACCACAGTTTTCTTGCTCATTACAAAATCAGTTACAAAAAGCTTACAGCACATTATGTACAAATTCTATCTAAATACATAAAGGAGCCATCACGTGGCACACTGTCAACAGCATCAGTCATCACTTAGAGCTCGCTCTGCTCTCCTCATGCTCCGAACTCTGGAACGCCGCAGGTGTCTCGCGCAGTGTCATAAATAGTCTTTGGGTTGGTATTTCAGCAGAAAGGAATTAGTTCTTCTTGTGAAGGAACTTCATTTTGTTCCCTGAAGAAAGCACACCGTCAGTGTCTCGCATGTACCAAAAAGCCAGGGTAATCAAAAGCGACCTAGCAGATGGGTCTAACTTTTAATGTAATTCCTGTAAGGTAACTCTTCGAATCAACACCAGCAGGGACAGCCAACTAACAGAGTGCTGAGTGGTCAGACACCTTCTTGTTCTACTCCTCCATTATAGTTTGGTTCCCCCACCCCCAAAATGAAAATGAAAGTGTTAACAAGGCTCATAATTAAATCTGGTTTTGCCATCTTTAACTATGTTTTCACTGTTTTCTTTTTAATATTTCCTATCACATTGCAGCTGCTTATCTGATTTTACCTCAGGTAAGGTTTTTTTAAATTTAAAAAAACAAACAAACAAAACAAAACAGAAAAAAAAAATAACCACAAGCACTAACATTAATTTCAGAAATACTTCTAAACATTTTCCTCACCAAGGCCTCGCAGGAACTTGTTCACTCCACTTTGTTCCGTGTCCGGAAGCTCTTCCAAATACTGTTCAACCCTCTGCTCGAAGAGACCTGTGGCAGAGGGGAGACAGGGGCGCCGGGGTGAGCTGTGCCCGGCTGCACCCGCATCACCCGGTCCCGGCTCCCGCGGTCCCCACGGCGCAGCTCCGGCGGGCGGCCCTGGGCAGTCCCGGCCGTGCGGGCTCTGCCTCCGGCAGCCCCGGCTTAAATCGACCTTCCGGTTAGCCCGGCATTATTTCAGGGACGCGTTTCCGTTTTCCCAGCGAGCGCAGGGGCGCAGACGTTGTGGCTCGCTGCGGGACCTCGGCAGAAGGCATCACCCGCGCCGCGGGGGAGAAACACACCCTTACCTTTTGCCCTGCATTTCCTCAGCTCTCTGTCCTGGATGAAGCCAGTAAACATTTGGGATTCCATGAAAACTTCCAAGAAGCGGCGGATGCTCTTGGAGGCCACAGATTTACGGAAAGCCTCCCTTTGGAAGGCACGCTCTCCTTTTTCATTCTGGGTTAGGAACAGGGAATAATGGCCAACTGTCTCCACAAAGAATCGGATAAAAACCTCAGACACTAATCCATTCAGGGTGTTACATTCTGCAAAATAAGGCAGCAATAAGACACCAAAATCAGCTGCTACCAGAGCTGTCAGCATTATTCCCACAGGGCCAGTACTGCATCTCTTGGTTTATTGATGCTGTGCTAACAACTGACAGGAATTGTACCGGGGGCTCCCTGCACACCTGGTGCACATCGGAGAGGGCAACAACTTCATAACCACAAGTGCCACTGTGTATAATTGGTGTTCCATAACCAACAGTCAATGAGAATTACAAATCCTCAGGAAACAACTCAGAAAATTAAGCTTTTTATGGGTGTTTTATCCCTGAGGATAATAAGCCGACATCAAGACTGATCTAAAAGGGCATGTTGTAGAATTTGGGTTTTCATAATTTCTGAGATGTTAAAACAGTTTTACATATGTAATACAGATGAGTAGAAATAAATTTCAAAAACTGAATAGGGGCCTGTTTCATACCTTTAACCATAGGCATTTATATTGAGCCTGAGCTGTTTTTATCATTGCTGGAGAGAAATATGAACCTTCAGAGACAATTCAACCCATCTTGCACTGAAACTATTTTCTGGTGGTACCTGTTTCTCTCCCCTGAAAATACCGAGTGCCAAAAGCAACTCCAAACTCAAGCACATCCCTAAGCCTGTAGAGTTATCTGGATTGAACAAGGGACAAGTCAACTGCAAACCTCTGTATGAGCAAAGGTTCAGAGGGACCCATGAGAGCCCATGTCATTTACAAAGAAATTAAAATAGATTGCTGGTATTACTGGGGGTTGATGCTATCAGTCTCATTCCCTGTGTGCTCACTATTTTTGCTGTCACAAAAGGTATTTGAGAACTCAAGTCCCATCTTTCTTTCTCCTGGACAGAAAGTCACAATTCTACCTACATATTTGTTTTATACAAGTCCCTGTTTCCAGATGAACTTACCGTCATCTGAATCACTATCTGAATCCTGATTTATCAGTTCATTCTTTCTCTCTAGAGCCTGCTCCAGAGCAGCTTGCAATTTCCTAGGTAATAGTGTGTCTTCATCATCCATCTGATAGAGGAAAGAAAGGAAATCCTTAGGTTACATTAATCTATG